ACGGATTCACTTTTCACTTTATTTATTTAACCAGGTAAAAAACCCATTGAGATCATGATCTCTTTTACAAGGGTGACCTGGCCAAGAGGTCAACAACACATGTCGTCAATACATAAGTTTCAATACAAATCAAAACATTAAACATTTAAACAATCAAAACCATAAATACAATAATCAACAATATAACCAATTTAAAAACACATACACTGACCAATAGAGTCCTGTTGCCTAAGAGCCATAAGAGAATAAAAAGATAGATTCGACGACTGTGCAGTGGGAACTGTTTGGCGTCAGGTTAAAATACAGTTTACGTTCACATAAGGTAGGGTGAGACATACCTACGGGGAAACGTACTTCACTTTTCCCCAGACTCTGCTACTTTATTTTGTATGTGCAACTAATGTGTAAAGTTAATGGTGTGATTATGTGACAGGCAGGCAGAAAAGGAAAACATGATTAAGGATAGCACATAACAGGATATGGTCAATACACTAACAAGTTATCACAGTGTTGTTGAAACAAATCTATTGAAAGTGTTATAGCATTTAGCACCCACCATTTACGTTTTAACTAAGTATCACCGTCCCGGTTAAAGATCCGCAGCGGAACTTTGAACGTGATTTTGCATCGTTCCGGACAGTTTAACTCGTCGGACCCATTTAGGAAGCGCATCCCAGCTGTGACCTGTATGAGAAATGTAACAGAGGAGAAGAGGTATGCTTAACTTAAAGACACTGCAAAGAAACAAGACGCTCAAATATGGAGTCCCTATGCTCGTAAGTAAGCTTCATTTTACGTTCTAACAAAACAACAGCCGATTAGCCTCGTAGCTAACACGTTTGATAGCAAGCTAGTAGTTTCATAAATACCTACATCTGGTCAAAGGTCATAACGAGTTATTTTAAGTTTACTGGTAATAGTAAAGCCAGATGGTCTTAAGGACTTCTAATTCATTTGTCCTTAGTTAATATTAAGCTATTTAAAAACACGACTAACCTGATCCTGATCAAATTTAGCTTTGACATCTACAATGTGTTGTTATGGTAAAATGCCAAAATAAAGTCAGGTTAATAGATGATGAAAATAATCTCTAGCTGCTGTTCTCTTGACAGTCATTCACTGTAAAATGATGAGCACCAGGACTTAAGGAATTCTTTTTATACTTGTCACATGCATGACTTTCTGTTTTGTCAAATGTAAGAATTCAAAGTCTTTTTCATACTTGATAGTAAACTGTCTTTGGGTTTGCAGGCTTTTTTCGGTTACTGTCTGGTGTTTTGTAGACAAAATTAATGAATACATTTTTGATTAATCAAAAAACAACTGATAATAGAAATAATTAGACACCTGTATTGTAATTTTACTTTGTGGTATTACAAGTTGCTGCATATTTTTTAGCTAAAGAATCATATTCCTAGATTATTATATCTTATTTGCAAATATGCCTGGTTAACTAATGACACATCACTTTGTTGTTTCAGCTGCTGATAGTCGGAGGCTCCTTTGGCCTGCGAGAGTTTACACAACTCCGATATGATGACCAGAAGATCAGAAAAGGGGTTTGTAGTGAATGACAGAGATTTGTATATCCAGTCAAGGGGTTGTTTTATTTTGCTGATAATTAAAATTAATTTTGAATACACCGATCTACATCATTATAGAGGAACTGGTTAAAATAACCAAACAAGCATCCATCGTGTCAATACTGCTCCCTGTGGTCAGAGCTGCAATTGCACCCGAGTGACAGTTTCTTCCAAGTATACAGTGTGAAAAATAATTCAAAGGTCAAGATGTTCTACGTTTTCAAGGACTGTTGGAATCTCGCAGTTCAGTGTGGTACATTAAGTTTTAGTCATGGTTTTTGAAGGAGTTTCAATTAGATACTCTTTCAATCTATCGTTTCAGAAGGACACTGCAGGTGCACATCGCTGACAGATTTTCTAACCCATTTAGACTGAGTCAGTACAAGAATGAGAACCAGCTCTGATAGTTTGTTAAATGACGGACCCAGTTCCTTAAATGACAGATCCAGTCCATTAAAATGACAGAAGACCAAGCCTTTATTAGAAGCCATTACAATGTGGTGAGCTGGCTTCGAGGGCAGTCTATGTTTTATGCTGTTCTGCTGTGACAAATGGTGATGCATGTCATTTGGGTATGAACCAGATGGCAGGGACATCTTTTCTTATTACTGTCCATGTGAAGCAACACTAGATGGGGGTGGGGGGGTGGGGGGTTAGCAGTATGCCCCTGCCTTGCTGCTGAGACAGTTGCCCACACTACTCCTTGCTCTCTTCTGATGAGGCTTTTGGGGCAAAAATCCAGATA